GGCTGCATTGAATTCAAGATGGGTCAGGGGGCAAAAAAAGGGCAGAAGGTCACTGCATTTTGATTATGGGTCAGTAGACAACATGGCATATACCCTGTGTCCCAAACTTCTGTTAAAGACAGGGTTTTTCAATGCCTAAGAACACAGGGATGGGCCCTTTTGGAGACTCACCCTGATTTGTTTAAATGAACCAAAAAGAAAAAAAATTAAGAAAAATATACTATATATACTGAGTTATCATTTGTTTCCCATTTTAACCATTTCTCTTCCTCCATTCCCATTTTCCCATCCTAAAAAGCAGAGAAGATGTGATATTAGATAAATTTAGCTAAAGAACTGTTGAGATTTTATTGTCTTATATCCTCAACTAATTCTGCCATATGAGACTTTATTATTATTTGAGACTTTATCTTGTGAGTATTATAGTTACTTTTAGTTAACAGCACAAGGGGCTTCTTTTATTCTTTTAACCAGCATACTTACATTGTTGAGGCCTTTGTGATGTTCCTTACTCTTTTCTGTCTGAATTCACTTTGAACAAAATGTGCCCAGCAATCACTAAAACAAATGTATATGGTGAAGAGTTGGGGCGGGAGGCGGGGAGTGATCCTCATTTAAATTATGTATGTATGGGTGAAAGCTTGGAAGGAAAAGGATTATTTTAATGCTCTTCAATACTTTAATTATATGACAGTTGTAGTGTAGAAATGCAAAAGTACTCTTAGGTTTTCCTTCAGGTTTTCAAAAGAACTTTCCCCATTAGTAAACTACTCCTGCAAATTGCTATTGCATTTCCCAGCTAACCATTTAAAAGACTGTAAATGCCGTGTGCATTACTTCGCTCCAGAGGAAAGAGGTCAGACTGAATTGCAATGGTATTTAAACATAAAATACAGTGAAAATAAATCAAAATAGAGCATCTGAAGGTAAATCTAGCACGTTCATATGGGATAAGCAAAGACAAATATGTTCATATTTTCATGGCCCTTCCCTTTAAAAACTGAAAGTGCTGATTTTTTACAATAAATGCAGAAGTAAGTGGACATTAGGAATATATTTCAATCTGTATTGGCTACAGAGTATTTTCCTTTTGCAAGCAGCTTTGTTTTCAAAGCTAAAGCACTTTTTACAATAGTGTGTAGATTAGGTATTCCTCACTGAGTAAATAATCACATTTAATTAACAAACTCAATGCATATCATACATGTGCCTAAATTCACAATAATTCCCTGGACCCACAGAGAAGAATAAATACATAAATGTTAATTTGGACATATCTATCTACATATGTACATGCATTTGAGAAACACAGAAGTTGATGTATCTTTTCTTAAAAAATAATTTGAATACAGTCCATCATCTGAATTGGGTTCATCTTTGATTGTAGAGGCAAATGACATGGTCAACAAATTTATCAAAGAAACCCCCTGGCTTTTGAAGAATAGTACTTTATACATCTGGATCTGCACATCAGGCAAAGTAAGTAAATTATTGCATAACTTTAAGCATAATTGATAACAGACACCTTTAATTTTTCATCCCCATTCTTTTGGCCAGCTTTCGCATTAATAATCTAAGCCATAAATGTTGGTAGCTATTGATCGAAATCCCCGGTGTGCATGCAAATCCATCTTAAAGTCCCCTGCCTTTCATGTGTGAGCGCTCAGGGGCCTCTGCTAGATCTTTTTATCGGGATCGACCCCCAATGTGCCTGGAGAAGACCCCGGATATGCAACGTGTGCTGATGGCCACAAGAAAGCTGTCACATTGTGTGTGTGTGTGTGTGTGTGTGTGTGTGTGCGCACACACACGACCAAGAGTGCTGGATCCTAACACACACATACACACAAGGATGGGGAAGTTAAAGGAACAAAAGAATGTATTAGACAAGAAGAAAGATGTGTAGTAGGAGTATTAAAAATGTATAAGTGTAAAGGTGTCTGAGTGCACATATAGAGATACTTGCACAGAGTCTATATAGACACATTTCTCAAATCCCCTAGCCTTTATTTTTCTCTATTTGACCTAACAGATTATGCCTTTAGTTTAAAAATATATATACTTAATATGCTACTAGTTTTCAAAACAACCTAAATTGCCAATATTTTAAAGATGGAAAGAGAAGAAGAGAGAGGAAAAGAAGGTAGTTTTGAAATGGCCACTAAATCATGTTGCTATGTGTAGGAGAACTAGGGGGGAGGGAGAGAGAGAGAGAGAGAGAGAGGGAGAGAGCGAGAAAATCTAAACGGGAAAGGAGAGAAAAAAAAACTACCTGGCCAAAAAAAAAAAAAAAAAAAAAGGATGCTCTAGCCAACCTTTTGTACCGTCTTCTCAAAGGCTTTCTGAGTTTACTATTTCTTGGCTGACTCTTTGGTCTAAATCTTAAAGCTGGGGGAGGGGAATGGGCGGGGGTGGGGGTGGGGGTGGGAGGGAGAGGGCTGGCAGTACTATATAAGTGCATCAGAAGGAATTTTAAAACGACATTATTGTCGCTGGCAATAGAAAGACTCTGGTCATTTTACTTTTAAAAACAAACACCAGCATCTGCTTTTCCTGGAAACTTCGCTTTCTGCTTAAACCTTGTGCATTTTGTCTCCGGTGAAAGTGAAAGAGAAAAACGCGGTGTAATAGATCCAGATGCGAAAGAAAGCCAACTCGGTGGATGGTATTAGCTGTGACGAGGCATTGTTCATTGCTGCCTCTTGGTTACGTTTAAAGCCTGAAATATCACGAGATCCATTCAATGATCCTACTCTCTCATTCAAGGGACAAAAATGTAATTTGCTGTAGCTCTGATTTCTTGGATGGAAATGCTAGCCTTTGATTTCAAAGGCAAGAACTAGACATCGCGGTTTGTACACACATTGATTAAGTTGAAGAGCGGCGATTACATCTGTGCTGAGTGCAACAGTAGTTCAGGGGCTGACTTTTCAAATCCCAACCTCCTGAGTTACAGACTCTCTTAAATAGACTTCCTTAATTTCCGGATGCACTTCTTGAAATTCCCAATTCTCTTCAAAATTCCTGGGAAATTACAAAGGAGATGAGGGTGGGGGTGGGGAATCATGGTCGAGATTTCATCTTGTCAAGCAAACTACCTTTTTGTATGTCTGATTCATCTGTTTTTATCTTTCTGTTTTCTTTTTTGAGCCATACCTGCTCCTGCCAGCCAGACCAGAGCAGGGGAAGCTGGAACTTTTGATTGTGAAGAAATAAATTATTGTATAATTTTTTTTCTTGCAGGCTCAGAAATATCCGTTTATTCTTTTAATCACACGGATGTGTCTATTTTTGGAGGAACAAGGAAATACATAAATGCCTGGATTGCATTTATGTCGTAGTTGCAAACACCGAACAGTTAAGAAGATTTTGCCGAATTTTGCAAAGCAGCCAAGGAGCCGCCTTGGGATCGTGGTAATGCGACTGGGAGGACCCTTGTTCTCATTTGACAATATTTTGGATATCCTTGAAAACGACACCAAAATATGTCTTAATTTGACTAAGAAGAGGTTAAATCACATTGATATTCATCCAAAGTGATTTTGTTAAAGCAGATGCTTGGCTTTGATGGAAAAACTGGGAGTTGTGGAAGATTCACCTAAACTACTAACCCAAAACATCACAAACCACTGAAACAGTCTACATCGTACATCAGCACTTTCTTTTCATCGTTATTACGTAAAACCTCTGGAAGCACCTTGGGCGTTTGACATTTTCTTTTCTTTGCTGCAGAAGGAAGCAGTCTGCTCCCTGGAATTCTGACCTGTGGTGAACAGGACCCTGGTAAAGGCTTTGCTGGAGACTCTTGCACGATCCTGCCTCCAATCCAGCACTGTTAATTGTGGAAAAGTGTACACATTTCTGGCTTATCTATGCTTTGTTATGGGTCTGACGTGAAACTACCTCCTCCCCACCCCACCCCCCAGCAGAGAACCGAAATCCAGTTGAATTGTTACAGTGTTTCGGAGCTGGAACCTTGAACTGCTTCCTTGGTCAAATAACTTTGTTTCTGGTTGTAAAAAGGCATTTCAGGGGGAAAAAAAGGAAAATCGAGAGAAATTCCAAACGTAAGTCCATACTGGGGTGGTTCACGGGGCGGGTTTAACTTTGGAGCTCCCAGCCGATCTCCTTCCCCACTCCTGTAAGGGAAATACCAGGCTATTCTGCACATTTTCGCTTAAGCTCCATTTTCCAAAAGGAAAAGGGGGTGGGGTATATCTCTTTCGGCTTGATAATGTTTTTTAAATGCTTTTCTTCGAAATGATAATAGCTGTATCGGTAAAATGCAAATAAAGGAAAAAATAGGCAGTATTTCTTTAAAGGCGAATATACGGTGCCGGTTTTTTTTTTTTTTTTTTTTTTTTTTTTTTTTTTCCTTAGCCATACACACACTGCTTCTGATGAAGTCTGTGAGTCAGGCTGTTTCTGAGCTCCGATAGTTTAATGGAAAGATTTATATACCGACTGTATTATTTACTTTGGGAGGGGAGGTGGCAGTATAAGGGTATGCTAATTAGTGGGAGATTTTGGGGGGAAGGGGTGGAATATCAATTTTTATTGCATCACCTGTCAGGAGTGTCCAATCAGCGCTGGCTTTAGAGGAATTAATTGATGAAGGTGTCTCCGGACGAGCTCACTTCACTCTGTCATTTTATTTGTAGCTAAAGCAGCGGCGGGAATAGCAGCTGCATTTCTTTTCTCTTTCTCCCTTCACATTCCATTATCATAGTGCTCCAGTGGAGAAGGAAGGAACAGAGGGGCCCAGGTACTGATCTGCATCGGGACTTAGACCAAAACACTGGCAGATCAGAAACCGGATGTTTTTTTCCCTCTTTTTTAAAAAAACGAAAACAAACAAACAAAAAAAGCAAGAATCAAGTCAGTGTAATTTCATGGGGTTTTCCCCCCTCAATAATTTCGCCTAGAGTTTGGCACTTCCTTCACCGGGAATAACAGTCTTTGTTATTTTATTAGCAGGATGCCTTGAGACACACGCAGCATCTGGCGGAGGATTAACATACATACATGTGTATGTACGCGTCACGTATATATTTACTGCAAATGGTGGGGATCATTTAGTGCCCGAGATGGGAGACCTGAAGTCAGGTTTTGAAGAGGTGGATGGCGTGAGGCTCGGCTACCTCATCATTAAAGGGAAGCAAATGTTTGCCCTCTCCCAAGTCTTCACGGATCTGCTGAAAAACATCCCGAGGACGACCGTGCACAAGCGCATGGATCATCTGAAAGTGAAGAAGCACCACTGCGATCTGGAAGAGTTGAGGAAACTCAAGGCAATCAACAGCATCGCCTTCCACGCCGCCAAATGCACGCTCATCTCCCGGGAAGACGTGGAAGCGCTCTACACCTCCTGCAAAACCGAGCGCGTCCTCAAGACCAAGCGCAGGCGGGTCGGTCGGGCCCTGGCCACAAAGGCGCCGCCGCCAGAGCGCGCCGCCGCCGCGGCCAGTCCCCGCCCGGGTTTTTGGAAGGACAAGCACCAACTTTGGCGGGGCCTGAGCGGAGCCGCGCGGCCCCTGCCAATCAGCGCGCAGTCCCAGCGCCCGGGCGCCGCCGCCGCGCGCCCAGCCGCCCATCTACCTCAGATTTTTAGCAAATACCCCAGCTCGCACTACCCGGAGATCGTGCGCTCGCCGTGCAAACCCCCTCTAAACTATGAAACTGCCCCGCTCCAGGGAAACTACGTCGCCTTCCCCTCGGACTCGGCTTATTTTCGGAGCCTGCTGTGCAGCAAGCACCCGGCCGCCGCCGCCGCCGCCGCCGCCGCCGCCGCTGCCGCTGCCGCCGCCGCCGCCGCCGCCTACTACCAGGCATCGGCGGCCGGGCCCCAGCCCAAGGCGGCGGCTGGCGCTGGAGGCCCGGGGAACCTGAGCTACCGCTGCAAGCGCAAGCGCGGCGGCGCCAAGGAATGCCTGCTCGCGCCCCACGCCGGCGCGCGGCGCCTGCTGCTGCTACCCAGGTCCTACAAAGCCAAGGCGGCCGCGGCGGCGGCGGCGGCGGCGGCGGCAGCGGCGGCGGCCGCCGGGGCCACTTGCCTGGAGAGGTTTCATCTGGTCAACGGCTTCTGCCCCCCTCCGCACCACCACCACCACCACCACCATCACCACCACCACCACCACCACCGGGCCCAGCCGCCGCAGCAGAGTCACCACCCCCCTCACCACCGTCGGCCGCAGCCCCATCTGGGCAGCTTTCCCGAGAGTTGCAGCAGCGACTCCGAGTCCAGCTCCTACTCGGACCACGCGGCCAACGACTCGGATTTTGGCTCCAGTTTGTCCAGCTCCAGTAACTCTCTGTCCTCGGAAGAAGAGGAGGAGGAGGGAGAAGAGGAGGAGGAGGAAGAGGAGGAGGAGGAGGGGGGCAGCGGGGCCTCGGATTCCAGTGAAGTCAGCTCGGAGGAGGAGGACTCGTCCACGGAGTCGGACTCCAGCTCCGGCTCCAGCCAAGTGTCAGTGCAGAGCATCCGATTCAGGCGCACCAGCTTCTGCAAGCCTCCCAGCGTGCAGGCGCAGGCCAACTTCTTGTACCATCTGGCCTCCGCCGCCGCTGCAACCAAACCCGCTGCTTTCGAGGATGCCGGCAGACTTCCCGACCTCAAGAGTAGTGTCAAAGCGGAGTCGCCGGAGGAGTGGAATCTACAGAGCTGGGCCCCCAAAGCCTCTCCGGTGTACTGCCCGGCCAGCTTGGGGAGTTGTTTCGCAGAGATAAGGAACGATAGGGTATCTGAGATTACATTCCCACACTCTGAAATTTCCAGTACTGTAAAGAGAACTGACCTGACAATTAACTGCCTGGCAGAGGGGGCCTCTTCACCTAGCCCAAAGACAAACAATGCATTTCCACAACAAAGAATACTCCGAGAGGCTAGGAAATGTCTACCAGCAACTCCTACTACACACTGTGCAGATAACAACACAATAGCTGCTAGGTTCTTAAATGATGATTCTTCAGGAGCAGAAGCAAATTCAGAAAAAGATTCCAAAATCTCTCATTGTCCTGAATTTGCTACGGATTTGCCCTCTTCGCAAACTGATCCTGAAGTGAACGCTGCAGCAGCAGCAACTAAAGCCGAGAATCCCTGCACTGACACAGGCGACAAGACATTGCCGTTTCTGCACAATATTAAAATCAAAGTAGAAGACAGTAGTGCTAATGAAGAATATGAACCTCACCTTTTTACAAATAAGCTAAAGTGCGAGTGCAATGATACAAAGGGTGAGTTTTACAGTGTGACTGAGAGTAAAGAGGAGGACGCCTTGTTAACCACAGCCAAGGAAGGTTTTGCATGCCCTGAAAAAGAAACTCCTTCCTTAAATCCACTGGCTCAGAGTCAGGGCCTTTCATGCACTTTAGGTTCTCCAAAACCTGAGGATGGGGAATATAAATTTGGTGCCAGGGTGAGAAAAAATTACCGGACACTAGTACTGGGAAAGCGACCTGTCCTTCAGACACCTCCAGTCAAACCAAATTTGAAATCAGCTAGAAGCCCTCGTCCTACAGGTAAAACTGAGACACATGAAGGAACACTGGATGATTTTACAGTTATAAACAGACGCAAAAAGGTAGCCAGCAATGTAGCATCAGCAGTGAAAAGGCCATTTAATTTCATGGCAAATTTTCCTTGTCCACCATCACTCATTATTGGGAGAGATGGGGATTTGTGGCCGGCATATTCCTTAAACACCACTAAGGATTCTCAAACTCCTCACAAGGCCCATCCTATATGGAAATGGCAGCTGGGCGGTTCTGCAATACCTCTTCCACCTAGTCACAAATTCAGGAAATTTAATTCATAAAAATGCTTTGGAAGATATTTTCTTGAACCATATTACCTTCCTTTTGTTGTAAACTGCACAGGATGGTTTGTACAAGTCCATTAATGTGTTACACCCCCTTTGGAGTCCTGGTTTATCGCATTTTGAAGACAGAAATCGGATTACTTTTTTTCCGTTGCGGGTTTTTTTTTTTTTTTTTTTTTTTTTTTGGGGTGGGGGGGGGGGGGGGTGGGAGAAGGGTTGGTTTACATTCCACAGACTACTTCAGGCTAAAGACTCAAGTAAAACTCAGTTATTACGGTAGAGCTGGAACACTTTACTGTTTCAATGCTAATAATGCACCTGGTACCTCAATTCAACTGCTACAAATAAATGTCAAAAGGTTGAATAATAAATATTACAATGAGCCATTAAGTTTATGCACTAGATTTCAGAGCTGAAAGTGTAACTGTTAATTCAGAGAAAGTTTGCTAGGTTACATGGTTACACAGTGAGGTGAGGTGAGGTGGCAAGAAGTTTCTGTGAGCCCAAAATTTTATTTTCTGGAGCTCTTGTTTGTGGGATATCTTTTACTTTTGACTCCCCTCATTCCCTCTCCAAGAGTAGTTGCACTTAACTTTTTTTTTTTTTTTTTTTTTTTTTTTTGAGTGGAAGGATTGGGGTGTGAGTCCTGATTAAATACTGGTAAAAGCTGCCTCATGCATACTGAGTAAAATAAATATGGAATTATATTTTTTTTGTAAAGGGAGTGATTTTACTTTTTTAAAGCCACTCCTTGCAATTGAAAAAGTCCTTTTTGTGTTCTCACCCAAAGGTTTTAAATAAGGTGACTCTTACTGTTGTCCTGCTTATCTTGTGGTCTGAACATGACTCTTCAAACTCCCATAACAATTGAAATATTTTTTCTTTTTCTTTTTCTTTTTTGAGACGGAGTTTCACTCTTGTTGCCCAGGCTGGAGTGCAATGTTGAAATCTCGGCTCACTGTAACCTCCACCTCCCGGGTTCAAACAATTTCTCCTGCCTCAGCCTCCCGAGTAGCTGGGATTACAGGCGTGCACCACCATGACCGGCTAATTTTTGTATTTTTAGTAGAGACAGGGTTTTGCCATGTCGACTAGGCTGGTCTCAAACTCCTGACCTCAGGTGATCCCCGCCCCCACCCCCCATCCCCGCCTCAGCCTCCCAAAGTTCTGGGATTACAGGTGTGAGCCACCAGGCCCGGCCTGAAATAGTTCTCTTAATAGCAGGGTATTTTATGGTCAAACTCTTGATAGTGACGAAGCAGTAAATACAACCAAGAAAAAGAAAATGGGGGTCAGAGTTGCAATACCCTAAATGAAAAATAACAGTTTTTTCAGGGCTTTTTGGTACCAGAACTCAGGCACTTGGATTTTATTACCTTATACTTTTTCTGCATCTCTCTAAAACTTTTGTTTTCGGACCATCCTGTGTATAGAGCAGGAGAGTTTCTACTGCAAGTGACAATCAGAGGTGACTATCTATATTTGCACTTAAAATCAAAGTAGTTCAACATGCAAATACTAGGGTCTAGCCCTTGGTAAGGGCCATGCTGGTGTACTGTGTTGTGTTGATGGAAGCAGTAAATCAAAATTATGGAAATTTGCACTGTTGAAAAGCATGCTTTAGCTTTATTTTCAATTAAAAACACTGTTTAAAATTCCTGGTTCCATACATTTCTACTTATTCCAGATTGAAGAACGGTTAACAGGATTGAATGGTTTTGTTGACATTTTCACTTGTAATGTTTTTGCCTGAAAGAAATGCATTTACTGGGTGTAGTGTTTTGTTGTAATACTATGTGATGAGGCCAGTCAGGTTCTGTTTAAAACACTGGTGGATTTCTTTCTAAGTAACAACAAAACTTCATAAACTTGCTACAAATCAAGTAGGAAAAACTTCAGGCTTAAGAAAGTGAATCAGAGATCAGTGATTATTTTAATGAAAGTTGAATCTAATAATTTCTGGTCGACCTCTTTTAGCCTGACAAATTATGTATCTCAGATCCTTGCCATCTTGAATCTAAGAAGGTGCATCTATAGTTCATAAATCACAAAGCAAAACAAAACACCAATGAAATGTTTACTGTGTGAATTTAAGTCACTATTTCTCATGGAAATTCAGTCTGTTGTTTTTGTTTTTCCTTAACCTTTTAGCTCCTATTCCCTTTGAAATTTTCCTTTTGTCTATAAATGTTTCAGATACATCTGGATGGTCTCAGCCCCTAACTGCTAAATGTGCTCTGTGGTTTTCCTCTTATTGTAAAGGACTGAGGCTGAGAATACCTGCATCCAAATACATTTGGATGGAGTAAACAGATGCTTTCAACTGCCTTCCTTCCTTTCCTTCTTGAATGTTGCCATACCAGATGTAGGTTCACTGGATTCTTTTTTATTGGAATGGTAGATATGGTCAAAGTAAAAATCTGGGGATGGTATCCTTGAATTCTTGTTTGTATGTAATTCCAAAGACCAGTCCATGTTACAGTTAATGCCCAGAAAGCTGAACAATTGGCTTCATAGTCTGAGTTATTCCCTCTTTGGAGGCAATATAGAATTTAGCTGCAATAAGTTGTCCTGAAAAATCAATCTGTAATAGGTGTGACATACACATTGGAAGTCTGTAATTTTTACTCTTTTATTACTTCTAAGTTAAGGAAGTTCAAAGTATGGTGACTACTATATGAAGACTAGTACTTCTCTTGTTGGCTAAAGACTAATTGTTCCTAAATTATAAAGTGAGAATATATAGTTGAAGTCTGCAGATCTTGGGTGTGGAGGGACTGTAAGATGGAATAAGCACAATTTAAAACGAATATACCCTATGGAATTTCTGACATAAAATATTGGCCTCCAGCTTTGACACTTAGTCTCTACCCCTCAGAGATTCAATAGTTTCAGTTTATAGGAGCTGGAGAATGAACAGCAAGGAGGCCGAAGCATTCCAAAATGATGCCATCAAAAGGAGAGAAATTAAATAGTCAACACAAATTTCATCCCACAGTACTACTACAAGCCAGCCAACCACAGCAAAACCTGAGTTGGGGCTTCTGTAAGGAAAGTGTACCAAATAGTATGCAGTAACTTGCAAATACAAGGTATTCTTTCAATTCCTGCTAGCCTCTTAGTTGTTCCCCATTCTGCTATGGGAATTATTCTCAGTATTATTTATATTATTTTGGTTGTTTCATGATTAATGACAATATCTAGACTTTCCTAAGCTGCTATAAATGTCTCATTTGTTCAGAAAGTTAAGCCTTATTGAGAGAAAAACAAAAGTTACCTCCATTGATAGATTACATTTTTACATTTAGATGTTTTCAGAGCATAGAATTGAAAAAAAAAAAAAAAAAAGCAAGCACTATATGGCTCCAGGGTGACTGATTCCTGTGTCTAAAGCCCAACATTTAGAGACATGAGGAAAAAAGCAGGAAAAGGCTCTTTTTCTAACTTTTTGGGTTAACAAACTTATTTTTGGTCTCCTGTAAAAGTAATTTCCTGATAAGACTGTGAAATGAAAATTTATTTTTTAAGAGGTGTATGTACTCTGTCTTCCACAGTCAGGTTATCTGCCTTTAAATAGAAAACGCAGCTTGCTCTTTTTCAACTATTTACTTTTTAAAGTGGGTGTTCTTTTCTACTGGCTTACTTGATTACAGTGGAGTAATCTCAATAATGGTTGTTTATTTGAAAATCAACAAGGAGCCACCACTAAACAACAATAACACAAACTACATGGGCTGGTGTTGGATTTTTATCTTTTATGTGTCTGGGTGACTTTCAATGGTCTAGAAATTCCTCAAAGTTCTAATCAACAAGAATTGGGAGTTTCTGCTGAAATGAAAATGACAGTTTTGTTTGCATGCAGGAAGAGGTGTAGAAACTAATTCCTCAAAAGCATTTTTTTTTCTTTCAAAGACAACAAAAACAAAAATCCTTCATGGTAAAGTTTTTTTTTTTTTTTTTTTTTTTTTTTTCCCCTTTTTTAAATAAAGCATTAGCATCTACAAAATAAAGAAAATGTGGTGAGTTTTGCTTCACCTTGAAAATAACTTCCTGCTGGAAAGGATGTAAAAAGAAGGAGTTCCCAGAGCTAACTAGGAAAGGGGGGAAAAATGGTTCCCATCAACTAACCTCAGGAAATTGGCAAGGAGGAACAAGGCATCCACCTTAGCGAGTCCGCCCGGTCACCCCAGCCATTCCCAGGATTTTCCCCTTTCCTGTAAGGAAGAACTATTTTTGATGATAGCTTTGGTTTTGGTTTGCTCCCTAGGCCAAAGGGCATTTGCAAACTAGCCTGGGGGATGGGGACGTAACTAGGAGGGGGGGGAGGGCTGCATTTTACCTGTTTGGCAGGCCCTCTTTTGCAAAGAAAAAAAAAAGGTGGGGAGGGCTTAGGGGGGCCCAGCTATCATTCTTCGCCCATGCCCTGGGCCCCCGCTCCTCTCTCGCTCCTTTTCAAACTGTGGCGGCCTCACAAGCTCCTACTTTAAAAGGCCTGAGATGTTTTGCATGAAACCCTCACAATAGGGGTTGAGGGAATTGACAGTTTCAAAAACAAGGCGTTCAGTCCTTTCCAGCTGCCGGCCCCGCTCTCTCGCACCAACTCCTCGTTCCTCTCTGCTGGTGGCGTCCTCCGGGGCGCGCGGCCGCCTCCACCCCGCCAGCCCGCGCTCCGGCCGGCCCACCCCGCCCCCAGGCTGTGTTTGTAAACAGCGGTCAGTGGCCGGGGGCTGCTGGCGCGGGCTTGGGGCCTGACGGGCTGGGAGGGAAGAATGGGGCCGGCCGTTGGTGCGATGGGCTGCGGGCGAAGGGCGTGCCTGGGGTCCTCGGGGGTTTTGGGGTCCGCTTCCCCCTCGCTTGCCTGTGGCCGCCAAGCTCTAGGGCGCACCGCGCTGAACCCAGGTCAGCTCCTGGCTCTCTGGCCAGGGCCACCACCACCAGAAAGATTTTTAAGTGCCGCCATTTTGCGTGGTGGCAAACAAATTTCTTTGTGACTTTTGTTTTCCCGCCCAGATCTTGCTGTCCTCTGAATGGGTGACGATGTCGATCCCCGGGACGGGCGGGAGGACCCGCGCCCCGGCACCTCCCGCGCAGCCTCTCGGCCCGGCGGCCTTGGAGCCAGGCCCGGCGGGAGCAGAAAGCGCAGGGCGCGCGGGGGCCAGCCCTCGGGGCCTGGAACGCCTCCCCTCACTTGGCGCTCCTTTTGTGTGTCCCGAAGTCATCGCCCACCCTGGCACACGCACACGCAGCCTCGCCGTTTCTCACCTTCCCAGGCCTCATCTCGGCTCCCCAGGCAAATGGGGCCCAGCTCTTCGCGTTGGGCGGAGGGCTGGCCAAGGCCTCCAAAAGGCGCGTGTGGATCGCCAGTGGCAAAGGGATGGGGTTTTCCCCTGGGCCAGCAAGGCGGCGAACGCCTTCTGGGAAGTGGCCCAAGACCAGAGGCCCTGCGGGGTGGGGAGGGCGCGGAGGGCGCAGGGCCGGGCGCAACTCCCACAGTGGGAGAAACGGGATGAGGCCTGGCAGCCTGGCTTTGGCGCGTGGTCCCTGTCCTTGGGAACCTCTCCGTGCATCTGCAAGGGGAATGATGGCCTGGAAACGGGAAACGTGAGACAGTGACCTGGAAAGCCACCTCGGCTGGGGAGGTTGGAGTGCAGCAATGCAAACAAAGCTGCTACCGGGGAAGAGGGGAAACAGAGGTGCACCGCAGCTAGGTCACAGGAAAGTGCAACAAGCTTGTTTCCCCGGGTGTTTAAAATGCAGCCCTAGTTGTAAAGCGTGTGAAATTACGCACTGGTCTCTTAAAGAGTGCCTAATTTATAGTAAATAGCAAGGTCTTTGTAAATGGCTTTATTATGTTGTTTCTTGTTAATTGTTGAGAAAATCCCCATTGTTGAGTGTGAAAGGCTTTATGAGCTAACCTGGTCCTCGGCGCAATCACAGGGCAGTAAATGGCCGCTCAGCCTCCAAGGCTCCGCGCGGGAGCCGTCGCCGGCCCAGAGTGCCGCGGGGACCTCTGGAGAAGGTGCCTCGGCCTGGGAAGAAAGTGGCCAGGCTTTCCAGGTTTTGATTAATGGGAAAGCGTGTTTGGAACTCGCAGGTCCCCAAAAGCAGCTGGCTGAGTGCGGCAGGGGGAACCCGGCGGGCCGGGGGGACCCCGGCCGAGAGGGCCGCGGGGAGGCAGAGGGGGGCTCGGGCTCCCCTCTCGGGTCACAGGCCGCGGGGTGTCGCGCCTAGGCCTGCGGGCCTGGGGCGCCGTCTGGAGCCGCGCTGCGGTGGGATTGGATCTTGGGCTTTGTCTCCAGTTCTCCAGACGCTTGGAACACGGGCTCGGGCCAGTTCGGCCAGGCCTGCGGGACCCACAAAAATCCCTGCCGGACCTGGAGACCGCAGGGTCTGCGGGGCAGAGCAGGCTCCAGAGACAGCTCCAGGCCCCAGCCCTGGCCTCTTGTCTTTTGTTTAAAGGGATCTTCATCTCTTTCCTCTTTCCCTCACCCCCTGTTTCTTTCCCCCCCCCCACTCTCTCTTTTTCTCCCTCTCTCTCCGTCTTATACACACACACTCCATGAGAAACTAAAATGGACTCGGAAGACAGGAGACATAAGAGGAAGGGGTGTTTGTTGAACAAGGAAAAAGAATGTCTTCTTTAAGATAAAATATTCCT